TGAAAGTTGGTTTATACTTCCGTTTTGAACCACAGCGAGCTGGGTCAAAGCGCTTTATATGTTGTTATAAGCAAGGTATATATGTTTTTGGCCCATGGTTTCGCGAATATATTGACATTTGTGTTTAAAATTTACCATCGCGAGGTTGTGCAAAATATTAATTAGAACATAACAAAAGAAATAACACCAATACTGGTCAAGAAAAGGAGTTTCTATTATTGCCATCAGTGCAAATTAAAAATCCCGGAAATCCCGGGATAATTTGCTAAGAATCCCGGGAATTTTGGGACCTTAAAAATGCCGAGATCCTACTTCTGACACATAAGCAGGATATTTTTTTTGCAAGGAAAGTGCTGCACCCTGAAGTCCACGGGGCCTCTTGATAACTCCGGGCCCGGGGAAAAAAGTTCCCGATCCCCCCCTCCCTCTCGTCGGGCCTGGCCTCAGTCCGTTATCCATCGTGGAGACTGAATTTCCTTTCCTTGCGCACCCTGACATTGAAATCGCCAAGAAGCATTTTGATATCGTGACGGGGGCAGGGCTTGTATGTACGCTCCAACTGCCCAAAGAAGATATCCTTGAGTGGTTCTACCTTCTCTTCTGTCCAGACGTTGGCCCAGATGAGCGAGATATTGAAGAACATTGCTTTGGTTCGGATCATGGCTAGACGCTCGTTCATCAGAGTGAAGTATTCGGCGACAGAGTCTCACTCCCACCACAAATTCAACACCGAATTTGCGGTCCTCTACGTGGCAGCTGCAGTAGAGGTCGCAAGGCCCCACACGTTTTTTGCAGCAGTTAGCTCCTATTAAATTTAAAATATGTTTACCTTTTTTATTGCGATACACGTATGAAGTGTTTGTTGTGATTGGGATATAGAAGCCGATATATTGTTAATCATAAAGGATACCAACCTACATACTACTTTTGGAAAATTCCCAATAGGTACATTTTAGCTGTTTTATAAAATATTCACCATAAAAGTAGTCAACGTTTCCAATATCTCTTTTCTTTGTTTTTATAAAAAGGCTAAATAAAATAGCGAAACAGGTAGGAAAAGGCACTAGAAATCGCGAAAAAGGCAAAAGTATGCACTAAAAAACGACAAATCAAAAAATACATTTATTTTAGAATTGTTTATTTTACAAGTAATGGGCTGCTTTAATCTCTCAAGAAAAACGAAAAAGTCATATATAATGAAGAAGTTTTCTTTTTTTCAAAACTTCTTAAATCAGTTTGCAGCTTTCAAGAAAAAAATGCTCGTACATTTATTTATTATTGCGAAAGCAAAGTGCTGTTTCGAGCAACAGAACTAATGAAAAATATTTCTTGTGATTTTTCTTGAAAGCTGGATTCTAAGCTTAAAAAGAGAAAACCTATATACTGCTTTCAATACATGAAAAATTTGTACTTTGAATCTTTGACTATTTTCTCCCTTAATCTCTATAATTGTAGTAGCATTGAACCCCAATATGCATTTTGAAGTTTTCTGGCAGAATTTTCATTAGATTTTCGCGAAGAAAAACTTGAATGTACTAAATGTGCGCTCGACGAGGAATAAAGCCTTTTTCCTTGCCCTTTACAATTAAAGTACAAAAGGCAAAAAAAAGGCAAATGTCTTAAAAAAGGCAAAAAAGGCAACATCAAATGTGTAAATGTTAAAAGGGATCTACGGTCAGAAAAAATCGGTTTTCACTTTTTTATCGAGTCTTATAGTAAACGGGCCGCTCTTTCCAATGCAAAAACCGCAGCTTTCTAGCTGCATTAGTTTTTTCACAATTTCACTTCAAAGTTAGGTACTTTCACAAAAAAAAGTACAAAAAAATCAAATCTGACAAACTATTCTGAAATTAATTAAATTCGCTTGAAACTCGTTACTCGGGGGTTTTCGGGGTCGCTGATTACGAATCCGATGTTAGTGTTTCAAAATTCGGTGTCAACGACATTTTTGAGTTTCACATGAATCCGAACAAATTTGAAAATTTTTTCCGCCATTTTGAATTTTTAAAAACGAACATCGGATTCGTAATCAGCGACACCAAAAACCACCGAGTAACGAGTTTCAAGCGATTCCGATCAATTTTTAAAAAAGTCATCCGCCATATTGGATCCGCCATTTTGAATTTTGGAAAACTAACATCGGATTCGTAATCAGCGACCCCGAAAACCCCCAAGTAACGAGTTTCAATCCATTAAAAAGTTGAGAAGCATCAAAATCAACTTGGTAAACTTCAAAGTAATTTTTCTCGAAATCTTTTTTTCTGAGCGTAGGTCCCTTTTAACTTTACGTGTCACATATATGGAATCAGGCAAAGATAAATCGTGGACATTTTTAATCGAATGTCTTCTATCTTTTTAGCAGAAAAAAGGCATTTTCCATGAAATCCGTTCCCTGGTTATTACTCTTAAAACATTCTGAGTGCTCAGAATTTATGAGTATAAAATTAGTCTTTCTTTCGTCATACATATGATTCTGAGACCAGTCAACCAGACTGACTCGTTTTGGACTCTTTTGGTGTCATAAACTATGAGTTGACGAAAAGTAACAAAGTTCACCTAGAAGTAAAAGTTTTATTAATAATCAGAATTATAAACGTGGTACAAAAAAGGTAGTTTGACTCATGATTCAATAATGAAAGGTTTTGTAAGAAAAACTTTCTCTCACTCTAATTTTATCAAGGACACTCCCACCCTACTCCTAAAAACAAAAACAGTGATATTTCTTTTCCAAACTTCTTTGCAAGTTCTAGGAATATTTTTTAAATTTTTAGTAGTGAAATATTTACTTTTTGAATGTTAAGAAAAGTTTGTTCTGCATTCGCTGGCGACAAAAAGACAAAATGGTTAAGATTCGTTGGGCTACAGAAATTCAATGTAGGCTAAAGAGACGAAATTTGCTTAAATGCCGAATATATGGTTGTATTTATCGACATTCGTGGATACTTATTGATCTTGACAGTCGCTGTAAAGTATAATATTGGCACATGATGCAATAATACAAGGTGGTATCAGTTGTGATAGGTCGACTTGACACTGCCTTAGCTCAGTAGAATAAGAAGAAAAACAGGAAGAAATGAATCCCCATTTGGGGGAAAAATATAAAATTTCATATTTTCTTCTAAACAAAATTTGCTTTTTTATAGTATATTCGCAATGAAATGAAATAAAATAAGATATAATACCTTTTTGAGAAAACAAAATGTGTATACTGAGAAAAATAAAAAAAATTCAACTATATTATTAGGCAAAGAATTGTTTAAGAATTACCACTGTTTCAACTAAGGCAGTCAATATGGCGGAATTAGAGCGAGAAGTTGCCAACTGATAACACCTTGTATTATTACATCATGATATTGGCAAACCACATCCATGGGGCCAATCGTAACACACGTCAGTACGGTTTAGTCAATGGCGCGATGTAATTTCAAACTTACGGCACTTCTCATTTGACTATATAGATCACGTTCCCTGTCTCATTCGTTCAGTAGCTGCGTGTCCTTTTTATTCTTCCTGAGTTCGCTCAGTACGAATCGCCAATCGCGACTATGAAAGCCAATGTTTAATATTCTGACGGCGGCATAATCTCCCCAGAACACTAAAAGTGCAACATCAAAGAGTTCGAATTACCATATTCGAAGCAATCGAGTCAAAACCGCGAAAGAAACGTAAGATCCAAGTGTTTTATTCGTCGTTTTTTTTTAATCAAAATTCCATAATTTTTCACAAACAAAAGTGGACCATCCATTCTCGAGTTATGCGTTATCTTACGCACGCAACTTTGGTATATACATAGAAATATTTATTTTTAATAACAGTAAAAGGTTATATTCGATGTAAATAAGCTTGTTTAAATTAAATAATTAAATCAATATTATTCCAACCTTTTTGTCGAATTTAGCTACCATTTTGGGAAGTGTGATTGAATCCTTCCTCTTTTCTCCTGCTTTCAAAAACCATCCCTGTGGGTGGGAGCGTAAAATTTTAGGAAAAAGCTACTTACAAAACCTTTCATCAAATTTTTTCGTGATATATCTTTTTTAATATTTTTTTTTTTTGGATGACGCCAGTGGAAAGCGAAACCTTCCATCGTTTCTGCTAGATTTCCATAGAACGACGCCTTTTTTTGGTAGCTATTATATATCGCGTGAGACTCTCGTTGTTCTTGGACTGGCTACTATCTATATATTATTTTCAACTATTGTGCCGGAATGGCTACTGGGATCAGTCAGGCAATTACACAAGACGCTTCATTAGAATTTGTGGGGACAGCTCTCAGCGGAATTAAGCGATACACAGTTAGTTTCCAAGCGTTGCATTTAACCTCCATTGCTTCGGCTCAAATCGAAGCACCACAAAAGAAGAGTGAGCTGAGCACCCAACTGCAAAGGAATCTGCAACTCAAAGCCTTTTTGGAAGCATACTCGAGGTGGGTATTAAAGTTAAGTCGATCATCAATAAAAACGAGATGTTTAATTGCGCGCTTGGATGTTATAGACGCTAAAACTAATCTTTTCTACGCCTTTCCTGCGGCTTATTTGGATTGTTTTTGCTTCGTGATCATCGAGGCTTATGTATTAAATATGTGTAAACGTATAAATGTATGTATGTATGAATAAAATGTACCAAAAAACATATTTTCATAATTTTTAGAGCTTTAATTATTTTTAATGTTGTCAAAAAATGATTTAATGTCAAGATAATGCTGAGTTAAACTACCTACTTTTTTATGCCATGATTATAAAGAATATTTGTTTTCAAGACACAGAAAGCATTAAGTTTCAGACCCTAATGTGACCCCTTACTTAGACTCATATTTGCGTGCCCTTCTAAAAAGGCAAATAAATATGCTCTTTTTTGAGCTCATAATGAGGGTTACAACTCAGAATTCTGAGACTTTTTTGACCCTAAAATGAGTCCGAATTTTTGTAGGGTATAAAGTTTAAAACGCTTTAACGTATTTTATTTTGACGCAATGCTTTGTTTGTTATCATAATACACAGGCCCTCTAAGGGAGGCGTTACTGAAGGTGAAGGAGGAGCCACTCAGGCAGCTGTGGAACTTCGTTTCTCATACTCACTTCTCGAAAAGCTTATACAATACTTGGATCGAGCTACAATCAATATGAAGCTACTTAAGCCATCAACGACATTTAGTAGAAGATCTTCCTTCAAAACAGCTTCTCGGGATATTAAATTCTTTTCTAAAGTAGTACTCCCTCTAATGGAAAAGTATTTCTCCACACATCGTAACTATTTTGTTGCAATGGCAACAGCAACTAACATAACAGGAGCAGCATCTTTAAAAGAAAAGGAAATGGTTGCATCAATATTTTGCAAGTTGGCATCGCTTCTGCGGAATCGTCTCAGTGCTTTTGGACCGGATGTAAGAATTACTGTCAGATGCCTTCAAGTATTGGTAAAGGGCATAGATGCTAAAACTCTGGTAAAAAACTGCCCAGAGTTCATAAGAACTTCTATGTTAACATTTTTCAATCAAACTGCTGATGATCTTGGTAATACTATTCTTAACTTACAAGAGGGCAAATATAGTCATCTTCGGGGCACCCACCTTAAGACGTCAACTTCGTTAGGCTATGTCAACCAAGTGGTACTGCCTGCGTTAACAGCCATGTTTGATCATTTAGCCGCTTGTGACTATGGCAGTGATCTTCTTTTGGACGAGATACAAGTGGCTTCATACAAAATATTAGCGGCTTTATACCACCTCGGTACTGATGGGACACTAACACATGATCGCAAATATCTTAAAACCGAAATAGAGAGACATAGACCTGCTCTGGGCTCGTGCTTAGGTGCATTTAGCTCCTGCTTCCCTGTAGCTTTCTTAGAACCACATCTCAACAAGCATAATCAATATTCTCTACTTAATCGTATTGCAGATCATTCATTAGAAGCCCAAGATATAATGGTGCGAATGGAAAGTTGCATGCCCAACTTAGAAGCTATTCTTGGAGAGGTTGACCTCTTTGTTGAATCGGAAAAAACATATACCGATGCACCGCATATAATAGATGTTATCCTACCCTTACTTTGTGCCTACCTTCCCTTTTGGTGGGCACAGGGACCAGATAACGTAAGCCCCACTAGTGGTAATCATGTTACCATGGTTACTGCAGACCATATGAACTCACTTTTACGTAACGTTTTGAAAATGATCAAGAAGAATATTGGGAATGATAATGCACCCTGGATGACAAGAATCGCTGCATATACACAGCAAATAATAATTAATACCTCCGAAGAGTTGTTAAAGGATCCATTCCTTCCGCTAGCAGAACGTGTAAAGAAACGGACAGAAAACATGTTTCACAAAGAAGAGAGTATGCGCGGCTTTATTAAATCAGCTACGGACGACACCTCCCAAGTTGAAACCCAGTTGCAAGAAGATTGGCAACTACTTGTCCGTGATATTTATTCGTTTTACCCACTTCTTATTAAATATGTCGACTTGCAGCGAAATCATTGGCTTAAAGACAACATACCTGAAGCTGAGGACCTCTACAACCATGTTGCTGAAATATTCAACATATGGTCTAAAAGTCAATACTTTTTAAAGGAGGAGCAAAATTTCATTTCGACCAACGAAATCGACAACATGGCGCTTATTATGCCAACAGCAACAAGACGATCTGCTATTACTGAAGGAGCTCCGGTAACTGGAGGCAAAGTTAAAAAGAAGAAGAAAAACAGAGATAAGAAACGTGATAAAGATAAGGAGGTTCAGGCCAGTCTAATGGTAGCTTGTTTGAAGCGTTTGCTTCCAGTTGGTTTAAATTTATTTGCTGGTCGGGAGCAGGAACTCGTGCAACATTGCAAAGATCGCTATTTAAAAAAAATGCAAGAGTATGATGTCATCGAATTTGCAAGAAATCAGTTAACATTGCCTGACAAATTGGACCCCTCAGATGAAATGTCATGGCAACACTATCTCTACTCAAAATTAGGTAAACGAGAGGAACTTGCAGATGAACAATCACTTGAAAAGGCCTCAAATCAAAATGATAAGAACAAAGACAAAACGCAGGAAACTGTCGACCGAATAGTAGCCATGGCCAAAGTACTTTTCGGATTGCATATGGTAAGGATATTGGTTTAGCAATTTTAATAAGTTCTATCCTAGACAAATGGAAATCTGAATAGGGCTACATCAAATAAAAATGTATTTCCTTTTCGGCAATTTTTTATTTTTAACTTTTCTTAATATTGATTAAATTATTATGATTTAATTTCAACATTTCTGATTACTTTTTACATTATCGCGAAACGGTATCCACATAACATCAAACTATTATTGCTATTGAAATTTCGGACCTCGCCACATTTACAGATTGACCATCCCCAACAACAAAGCAAGAACGTCTACAGGAGTGTTGTATCTATACAAAGGAAACGTGCCGTTATTGCATGTTTCCGCCAGACGTCTCTACATTCTCTACCCAGGTTTTTACAAAATTAGAACAGTTTTCGCTTGCTCAATACACTAACAGTCACAATGCCCGTAGAAGAAAATAGTAGTGTGTTCTTTTAATGTCTTTGGAGGATGTAAAATATTTATGCCACTATCATTTCATTTGTTTGGTAGTTCATACTTTCCGTGTCTTTTTCAATATTGTATTCTATGTAAATTCGTTACTAATTAATTTTCCGTACTAATCCCAATTATATGGTGCATAGACTTTGTAATGCTTTAACTAGCTGATACCGTGTATTGTGTCCTTAATTCCTTCCTAGGCATCACGTCCTAAGCAAAGAAGCAAACGTTGGAATTCGAAAATTACATTGGCCCGACGCCAGGCAGTCATATCCAGCTTACGCGCTATACATCTCTATCGCATGAGCAGGTACACTTCCACCTGTTGGTTTTTTGCCCAAACCATAATCGAAAAATCATTGGAAACTACTCTCCCACAAAAGTCTCTATGTACAATCTCGGCAAAGCATGATCTTTTCATACAAATGTATGTACACATGTACTGATTTCATACATTTGTAAAAAAAACTCACTGAGATAAAATGTAGTTGAATACTCCTTAGAAAACTAACCATACTAACGGAACGTATGTAAGCATGCTTGTTTTCTTTTTTTCCAATTTCGAAGCAAATGCTAATTCGTTTACTTGTTTACGTTGACAGACATCGGGCTTGCAATATTTTTGCGCGATCTTACTACGAACAATGGCTTCAGGAAGAAAATGTAGGCCAAGAGGTAATGATTGAAGATTTGACACAAACGTTTGAGGAATCGGAGAAATCGAAGAAAGACGAAGAAGAGTCCGAAGGTAAGCCAGATCCTCTAACGCAATTGGTTACCACGTTCTGTAGAGGGGCCATGACCGAAAGGAGTGGAGCTTTGCAAGAGGACTTGCTCTACATGTCATACGCACAAATAGCCGCAAAGTCTTGTGGAGAAGAAGAAGAAGAAGGTGGTGATGAAGAAGGAGGCGGAGAGGGTGGGGAAGAAGGCGCTAGCATACATGTAAGTCAGCAAAAATATGTCAAATTTATCACCTAAAAATTTTAATGCTTACTACGTTGAAGCAACCAAGTCATGTTGCTTCCTATGTAGCATCTCACAGAAATCGTGCCGATGGATATAATAAATCTTCAAAACGTTTTTCACTAAATGGATCAGGTTGCACTCCTAGCGTAGGGCTGCCAGACGTCCTGGCTTTCCAGGATTTCTCCTGATTTAGACAAATTGTCCTGGTGTCCTGGTCCACACTTAAATTGTCCTGGTTTTAAATGAAGGTCAATGCTATGGTTTTTGCTATGAAAATAGGTTAAGTAGTCGAAAATTTATGACGAAACGTTTTTTCTGTCAGTTGAATATCTGGTTAATTTACTTCCTTTCTGTTTAGTTTATTTGGTTAAAATCTGAATTTTTTTTCAAGCAAATGCCAAAAAGTGCAAGTTCCTGATCAGGTGCACGGCTGAGGGGTCATACATAAGTACTACCCAGTAGATAATTTCAAGAGCTAAAATCTCATCCAAAAGGCCTTTCTGAACGTTATTCCCTTATCCTCCATTTTTTGGATGGAGCGGTACAAATTGAATGGCTTCTGCTTTCGCTACTGAAAAAGATCTTTCAGAAGAGCTTTTGTAGGACACTATAAAGAAGCGTTTTTCTCTGAAGGCCCCGACGCTTCTGTTTTCTGCAGGGGTATACTCGCCATGCCCAGGGTCCGTTACAATAAATTTATATTGTGGGATCTTTGCAAATAGTAATTTATTTAATTATTCTTATCCTCTAACACGTGTTAATTCTTATTTCCAACGAACACAATACGATTAACGGTGTATAAATTCCTAACGGTGCTATTCTGTCGACGCGTTGCTGTTGGGTGACGATGAAGCTATTCTGTCGGCGCTCTGCTGACGGACGGCGTCGGGGCTACTATGCCGGCGCTCTACTGCTTGCGACACCGACGCTGCAATATCGGCGCTCTGCTGATCTACGACGTCGGCGCTCTATGGCGCTGTGAGGGGCGTCACCGTCACGCGGGTTCACGGTGAACTGTGGAGTGGCGGCGCAGCACCTTTCAATAGCCAAGCCTTGTGTGGTAACAGAGCCCGTATACAAGTCAAGGTCTATTTGTTGGTGGCTGGGCGTTCACTACCACGGCTCCGCTACTGACGCTTTGCTGTTGGCGATGCCAGCGCGCTGCTCTGTCGGCATTCTCTGCTGGGCGACGTCGGCGCGGTTCGGTCGTGGCTCTGCCCCTGAGTGACGACGGCGTTGCCGTCATGCGGGTTCACGGTGGACTGTGGAGCAGTGTTGCCAGAACTTTTTGGGCCGACCTGCTAAATTGTGCAAAAGAAACGGCTAAAATATTTCAACTAAAATTAACATGTTTTATTTGAATAAAGTTGAGCGACTAATAAATTCATTAAATTATTTTTAGTTATCAAAGGAATCTGTCGTTATACTTAATGGTGCATTTACATGGTATGAATCTGTTCATAAGCCGTATGAATTTTCCTATAAAAGAAGCACCAACTCTATGAAGAAATGAAGGAATGCGATATATATTTAACAATTTTGACTTATGTATATACTTGGCAATATTTTTTTTGTAAACAACAAATAAAAAAATTTTATTTTGTGCTAAATAGCTTCGAAACTAGTAGCTTATTTTTTTGTTAAATGTGCTTTAAAAACGACCTACTGCCAATAAAGCCTTGTGGATTGCTATTTTTCCATATTTGTAATGCTTCCATTTAAACATCTTAGTGGGAAAACAGTTTTTTGTTCACAATTGCTTGTTTACGAAACGCTTGGTATAAGTTGAAATCATAGGGAGGCCGTTTTCTTCCGTTTCTCAGGGGATTTTATACTTGAAAAGGCACCAAAATATGTATGCAATACTTCGGAGTGTATATATGTAATATAAAAAAGAATAAGAGGTACTATAAGAAAATGTACCCAAAATTTAGGAGCAAATGAAAAAATGCTCATTGAAAATAGTTCACATGTATAAATTTAAAGATATAACTTAAGCGGTTACAGCGCTATACAAAGGGAAAAGTTAGAAAAAATAGCAATGCGGTTTGAAGGAAACATGAAGCAATAAAATGCTTGTTTTGTTAATTCTCTGAACCTTTTAAGATATGGCACTCTATTATTTGCAGTAGTTTGCAAATATTCACTAATGGTTCTAAAATCACAACCATTTTCGTGGGATGCTTTTTTTTGATTTCGAATTGGAAATACATTACCATCGTATTGAAGAAGCATAAACTGAATGAAAAAATTAAAGGGAGAAGTATACATCCCCATCGTACAGTTTCATAAGTAAAGTAACTCTTCTTCTTACCGTTTTTCCTGGTAGGCTGTAGGTGCCCTGCAGGGAAAGCTACTAGTTGTGAACTAGAATTCTACCGGTTTGCGTTTCAGCCGAACTAGTTCACGTTCTATCCTTTTTCAATGTTAGCGACTGGTATTTTTAACATTGCGATGTCCTACGAGATGTCAATTGTCAGGCTATGCATCAGCATCTGCTAGTATAAATACTAGTAGCATCATACCAGTTGATGAGATAGTCTGCCAATCATGAAAGAAAAAAGTAAACACAACAACCATCGAGTAAATTTTTATTTGTGTCAAACTGAAACTTTTTTTCCAATAATAAACGGTTAGCTGATTCAAGTCTTCAGCAAGTTCACAAAATTAATTGAAAACTTGTATCAATCAAAGAATTGTTTATATTTGCTCAACAATGATTTTATTCAACTAACAATATTGTCCACTCAAGGTAGTCATTTTGTAATTATTAACAAATATACATCTGTCCCAACTAGAAGTCGCAAGTAAATTGCAGACTTTCGTGAACTAGATATTTATTTCGCCATATCCAACTATGCCACTTGGTCACTATAACCAAATTTTGGTAATTATAAGTAATTATTTTAGTTATTTAGTTATAATTACCAACCCATGGTAATAGTTCCCAATCCTTGGTAACAGTTCCCAAATATTGTCAAAACTGGGGAACTAAATATCTTTAGTTGTCGGAACTAATCCTTTTTCTCAGTGTATTAGGTACATACGTATATTATTAAAAGTAGGCTAAATACTATTTTGTTTCAAAGGCGAAACTTTTAGTACTTGCATGTATCAAAGAAAGTATATATACATTTATGTACATATCTGCTCAGACTTATTAAATAAATTTTAGGTTTATTAAATTTTACAATAATAGCTTAGAATGACGTAATTTACTTGTCCAATGAATTATAGGGTATATGTGAAACCTTAAAGAATGGTACATATTGCATATTTTTAGTGTTAATTATAATCTTTGTTATTGTTTATAATGTTGCTATTTCTATGCATGAATGTCATGTGCAGTAAATAGAAATAATGATAGGGATGATATTTTTAACCGACTTCCAAAAAAGGAGGAGGTTATCAGTTCGTCGGAATATTTTTTTTATTTTTTTTTTTTTATGTATGTTACCGCATAACTTTGGACTACGTCAACCGATTTCGATAATTCTTTTTGCATCGGAAAGGTAGTGTCTCAGAGGTGGTCCCATACTAATCTGGTAATAACCTGAAATTTTAGAAGGAACTTGTCTTCCCTCTTATCTTCAAGAATCCGAACGTTCTCAGTCAAAATTCGAAAAAGTTCCAATTTTGAATCACCCTAGTAAACGGAGAATAACCATAACTTTAAAGGCCTAATTATATTATTATTTTCTTTATAGGAACGAGCTCAAATATCATTTGCCTTACTCGTCAAAGCCCCTATGAAATAATGAAAAACTCTGGCTGTGATCAATTCAATGATAAATTTAACGTTTTAACGGGACAAATGAAAGATCGCACCATGCCATCTGATGAAAATTTAAAAGATTTTAATATGAGATATTTCATCTCTGAGGTCAAAATTCCTTGGAATAGGTCCTGTAGACACGAAGAACGTGTTTTTAGAAGCCAACAAGAGTTGGCTAAGTTTTCCGTGTTCAAAACAAAATAAACGTCAATTGTCAGAAAAAGCTCTAGAGGCGCGAAACAAAAATTTTAAGAGCTACAGAGAACGTTTTTCTCGCAAGTGCAACAGAAAAAAGACGAATGAAGATATATTCAATAGACGTTTGATTAGTTCCGACCCTGATGCATCAAGTATGAGAAAACTAACCCAAATAAAAATTCAGGATTTGCCGAAAGAAACATTACAGTTGTTAATTATGCAGACTTATAGCGATGATGAAGATGTTTATAGTGATGACAATGACGCAAACGAATACCATGATTATATTTATTGAGGGTTGTACATTAATTCTAAATTACTTTCTAGGCTTAACAAAAACATGTAGATAATTGCTGAAGAGAAAATTTGTGTAATTCGTATTCATCATCATATAAAAAATTACCTAAAAAAGTGATGGTGTGGATGATGTTGATGATGAAAATAGTAATGAAGATAATGATGGGGATAATTATTATAATGATAGAAGTGGTGTTTAACTTGTAACTAATGACAATTAGGATTTTAACAAATTATCATTATTAATAAAAATTATTTATGGGAGTAACAACTAAATTTTAACTTTTCTCCCTCTTTGGTAACGCCATAAAAACCTGCATAAAAAAAAATCCCACTAAACTATATTCGGATTTGTCTTTTCTTTACTTCATTTGGTGCTAGTTATACAAATACATAAAAATATTTTAAATTAAATGTACGTATGAATTAATCTCCACTTTCAGGGTCGATTACCCCACTGTGCGACGATCCCACTGACTCAGCCAGTTGCCTATGCACTGTGCTAAGTTCGCCTTGTGAATTCTTGTTGCTTTTTTCCACCATTTCATTTGTTAAGCGAACTACAATCAAGCGCAGCTATTCCAGTGCTATTTAAACTTGATCATGTGGTTGTTGGTTTTTGTTAATAATTCTATTATTAGAATGTTTAACTTTTAGGTAAGGTTGCCAGATTTTTTATGCGGGAAATCAGTACGTTAGACTTTTT